ATTAAAATTTTTTAAAAATTTATTAAAAATTTAAAGACTCATTAGATATTTATTTAAAATTTATTGATGATTTTAATAATGTTTATAACATAATGAGATAGTAAAATTTTCTTAACAAGTATATTGCCGCTCAATCCAATTGTGGGTGTTTCAGAAATCTTTTTGTAAAGTAAATGGAATTAAATGGGGGGGTGAAATGAGAAAAGTATCCTTTTTCTTTTCTTCAAACCTCAAAATGGCAGCATCGTAGGACCCAAGAAATTGATGCCACACATCGGCAACGTAGAAAAGGAACCTTAATTAGCAGTGTGAGAATCGGAATACAGTGTGTCAATTACGCATGCAGCATAAAGCTTTGATTTGATTAATCAATGAGAACACACATCATATCTTAAATTTTCTTTTCTTTTCTTTTCTTTTTGTCTTCATCATATATCTCAAGTGTTGGGATAAATAAATAAGAATCATACCATTAACCACAAAACATGGGAAAAGATCTGCCATGTGGGACACAAAACAAGCACCTTCAAACTTCAATAGGACCCATTTGTAATGATATATCAGATATTCTTATCCAAGCACTGATCTTTGCCGTTGAATTTTTGGGTTGGGGGTATATACCAGATTTGAGTTAATAAATGGGGTTAAAGCAGGTTTTTTAATTAGTATCTCAAACCAAGATATGCTGTCATAATCTTTTATTATATATTTTTTTAATGATTAGGATGTTTTTGAATTAAGTTATGCATATTTCGAAATTGATTTTTTTAAAATTTTTTTAAGAGCAGACTTTTTATGTAAAAATTTAAAAAATTTTTAAAAAATTACTTTCTCATTAATTTCTCAAAAATACCAAAATTTAATTAATAAGATAATGAATAAATCTCCTAACCGATTAAGTATAGTTTCCATGAATTAGACAGGATGTTTCACAATAGTCCCATGTTACTGTCTTAAGGGCTATTTTCAAGGGAATGATAGATTGGAGCTTTGGATCGTGACGTGATTAGTGAAGGATGGACCAAAATTAGAGGTCATAAAAAGTGAGGCTATAGATGTCTTCAGAATTTCAGACCCATTTGAGGCCACAAAAAGTAACGACGACCTAATGATTATGGGTTCGTACAAATAGCACTCTAATGAAATAAAGTTGGGTTGAGCCCATTCCCGCTGTTTCATAAGTTGGAGGCTAGTGAACAATTTACGAATCAATTTACAGATTGTCTATTTTACTAAAAAAAAAAAAAATTGCAGATTGTCTAAAAATCCTTCTTGGTCTTTTAATTTATTGCCTGAACCAAAAAAGAAGGCTAGCTAGGAAGTAGTGCTAACTATGAAAGACTGCCATGTAAACTCAACAGCGTAGTTAATTAAGGACCTGGTATTAATTTTGATTTTGAGTTGTATACCTTGCAAATAAAATAAATTAAGTGATAGGAAAGGAGTTGTCTTTAATTGTGTAATAATAAAAAAGAAAAAAACGTGACGTTGGTCAGGTTGTACATGCACTGATTTTTTTTTTTTTTTGTTTGGACACTAAAAATATTTACAAATGAATTAGTACACCTCTTATATTAACTGAATACATTTAAAAAGAAAAATTAATTTTTTAAATATTGGTCACAAGACTTAATCCTAGACTTGGCCAACAATACTAGTAATATCACGCATTGATTTGCAAGCACTAAACCAAGTAATCATTCATGAAAAGTTGTGGACTCTGGCATTTCAGCTATTGTTAAAGAGAAAAACAAAAAAAAAAGTTGTGGCCTCCAGACTTTTACATGAAGATTCCATTACCTATTTTCAAAAAAAAAAAAAGACTTTTACATGAAGATTGATTCATCAGACATGGTCCCCATGAAACATGAAAACATCTCTCTATGGGCGCAAAAGAAGGTTGAAATTTGCTTGCAGCATCGAAAAACATGACTAAAAAGCAAAGCTAGCTAGAAAAGGGTTTAATTAATTACTTTATTAGTTTTTTTTTAAAGGTCAAAAAGCTTCAATTCCCCAAAAGCTTCTTCTTTTGGAGACAGCATTCACACCATATCTCCAATTCTCTACCAAGAATGAAAATAGTAACTAAGATACTACTACTAATTGCTAGAATAAACACATTCTATTGATTCAAACCAGAAAAAAAATTGGTTATTTTCATGCCACAAAGGATTATGATTCCCTTTTACAAACAAAAAAAAAAAAAAAAAAGGAAAAGAAAAAAGAAGAAACGGAGATTTGCTTCCCAGATTCTATAATGAAGATGATATCCATGGCTCATTTTCATGCTGACGTTTTGTGAAGCATATATGTTTGTGAGAGTCTAATCTGATTCAATGACTGCTGCCATACGTAATGAAGCCTATTTAACTCTTTCTGCCAATCTTTCTAGTCAACTGTTTCTTCATGTGTTAATCAGCTAGCATCCCCATGAGAAAAAGTAGCATATTATGGAAAAGTTTTGATGGGAAATAATTATAAACGTAACAATAAATATTCAACATCAAATGGTTTGCATTCACTAAATTCATACATAGGGAATTAGTAGTAGTACTAAAGAAAGCAAAAACACCAGGAATAGCTACCTTTAATTAATGATGTCCTGAATGTTCCAAAACATGGAGGAGCAATGCATTTCCCACATTGATGATGGTGAAATGCACCCACCCATTCATGTATCTAACTCTCTTGACTCTGATTATTAAACATAGTCAACATGAAATCTAACACAAAGCAACAGCTAATTCGATAAACCTAAAATGGAAGATTCCGAAAATATTAATTAAGGTTTTAGTTTTGAGATAAGGAGATAGAAAGCTTAGGGCATCTGGATTTCTAGTAGCCAGAACAGCCTTTACGGACCTTTTTTCTTTACAAGAGCTGTCAAATATTGCCTAGTGTAAAAAGCCACTCAACATATTCATCAATCTGTTAATTATTCGGAGTGTATATATAACAAGTGGAAAAAATCAACAAAAGATCTCCTTTTATTCAAAATTATTACTTTACCAGATAACTTTCAAAACTCGATGCATTTAATTTTCTTTTCTATGCAAAACACCAGTAAAATGATATTTAAGTATATACGTAAAGGCTGATTAACCAATATAGACACATATATTTTAAAAATTAAATCTCTACTTACCTTCTAAAAAAAAAGACTTCTATGAATTAGATATCTTTAGGGGACACAATACTTACTTGAGTTTTGAGTTCGCACACAGTGAAAGAAAAGGGCAAGTGTTTCTTGCATCTATACGTGCTTGAAAGTAAAGATTTTTATTTCCAGACCCTCAGAGCAGAGCTTTACATATTGAAACCCTAAGAAAGAGAGAGGAAAAGAATGTTTACCCAAGTTTTTTCTTCCAGAAACAGACAGATCAGGAACTGGAAAATCATCATGAGAAAGATCTGTGTAATGATGAACAAGAAAAGTGAGTTTTTGATCCTGACAAAGAAACACCACCATAACATTACCAGAGAACCAAACTAAAAAGAGTAATGATGAAACCTTTACTTACTGAGAAAGGTCAAACGCTTCATGATTGCGCCAATCTGCACTTCACTAGCAGCCTAATTGCTCTAAAAAGGAAAGATCTACCATCTAAAACCACAAAATTTTACCGAAAGAGGAAAGAAAAGTAGTAACACCAAACCTTCACCATGATCTGTGATCTCCATGGAAGCAATAATTGGGGGGAATGAAGCCTGGTCCGACGACACAAACACAAACTCAATCCATTGTAAGAAATAGTAGATCGACGTGTATGGAACTAGCTAGAGAAGTGTCCTCGAGCCAGACAACATTCCCCTCAAAAAAGAAGCTCCCCAATCTTCAAAAGTACTCATCAAGTGTTGGAACTAAGTGATCGTATTTGTTTTCTCTGGTTCTCTTTATCCCTTGACCCCCAAGAGTCTCGCCTATCTTCAAGGGGGATGAAGGGGGGGGGGGGGTGTTTGATGATATCCTGAAATGATGAAGAGTATGATAAGGGTATGGGGTTTTTTAAGAAGAGTAAAAAAAGTGAAAATCCAACGTTAAAAAAGACAAAAACATAGCAGCACAGACCGGACCCTACCTGCTGTGTTCCAGTTCCAGAGATGACCACGACCCCATGCACCCCCCCGGCCAGCCCTCTCTTTTTCTAAAAAATTATTTTGCATTTTTTTTTCATTTTTACACTTGAATATGCTAGTGTAAAAAAAAAATTTTAAGGCAATATGAAACATATCAAACAACCCTTTATTTCTGAGGAATTTTTGATGTAGCACTTTGTACCACATCAGCAATCTAAATATTTGCATCTCATTCTCATACTTATCAATAATATCCACTTTTATGTCAACATTCGATTATAAATTAAAACCTTACCTGTAAGTTCAAGTTGTTTAATATTCACATTCCTTATGAACAAAATTTTTCTACGTACATATAATATGGTATGAGTGTTAACAGGGATGGAGCCAATGAAGGACAAGGGCGGCAGCCGACCCCCTGAACTTTTGAAAAATATTTACTATGGTATTTTGATTTTTATTTGTTAAAAATTTTGTTCTTATAGTATGAATTTTAGGGACCATTTTAAACGTAGAAAAAAAAATTAAAACTTATAAAGAATTTTCAAAAAAATAAGGATATAATTCAAAATGAAATGAATTTTATGTCAATTTATTAAGTAAGAATTGTGGTTCTTAAATATTTTCTCATCTATTAAGCCCCCAAAATTTTTTTTTTTGATTTTTCATTTAAACAACTTTAAATTTATAGTTTTTTTTAGTATTTTTTGTGTTAAATCAATCTAAATTTAATTTCACTTTCTTACAAAAAAATATTCAAGCATTTTTTTTATAATATAGTGTTTATTAACATAAACTCCAAAAAATTAAAAGGAAAAATATCCCAAAACTATATTGTTTCAACAAAACTAAATAAATTTAAGAATATGTTATTTTTATCTTTATTTAATACAAGTATAATCTTTTAGTATTCTTCCTTGTAATTTTTTAGATATTTGACTAACAAACACGTTTCTTTTAATCTATTCATTCTTCAATTAATTATTGCATCATTTCTTATTGCAATATATATTTTTTATTTTAACAAATACATTTATATCTAGTTTTTTTAAGAATATATCAATGAAAATTACTATAAGTAAATCTTTTTATTAAAAAAATGAATTAACGTCTTAAAAAATACTTAAAAACTTAAATTTTTAGCAATAATTCTCACCCCCAATCTAATTTCATTGCTCCGTCCCTGAGCGTTAACAGCTGTATATACAAAAAAAAAAAAAGGAATAGTGGTGTATATTGCCTTATATATTGATATTGTTATATATTATTCAAACTTATCTACTTTTATGACATGTCTGAATTATAAGAACTTAATATTTTAAATTAGATGTTTTAAGTTAAAATTTTAAGAGAGATAAAAATGGATTTACGAAAGAAATGATTATGTTTTGTTTTATGATGTATTTAATGTATCTTTTAGTAATTAAATTACATTAAAAAAATATATTTTGACTTTAATGCTAAAACTAACTAATTAAATTAATTAATATAGCATTAATGTTAAAATTAATATCAACCTTTTATATTTTTTATATTCCTTAATAACTAGAAG